GGCCGATTTCTCATGGTGCAGTGAGAAGGACAAGTTTGAGGAGACCCAGATGCCCAAATCCTTTTTGGTATCTATCCTCATGAGGTTTTCTGGTCGCTTTTCACCATGCATAACAAAGGCATTCGCTGAATCCCCTCCAAACGACATATGGACGCACTTTTAGTCATTCAGAGGAAGGAGCCACTCAAGCGACTACTGCTTTGCAGCGTCTACATCCATTTGGAGGGCACTGGATTTTAAGTCGTCCGCAAAAAGGGGACATGGACCTGCAAGAACATCTGGGAGGTCGTTGACGTAGATCAGAAACAACACTGGTCCCAGAACGGAGCCTTGAGGAACTCCATGGAGATTGGCTCTGGGGAAGAGTAGGTCGTGCCTATTCTCACTCGGAGTGATCTGTCTGATAGGAACGCCTTGATCCAGTGAAGGATTTTCCCTTGAATCCCGTAGGATTCGAGTTTGTGAAGCAGCGGGACGTGTGGGACCCTATCAAATGCTTTTGTGAAGTAAAAAAATATGGCATCCGATATGAGTTCTTCGTTCTTGGCTTGGGATAAGCTGTCCATAAACAAGAGCATGTTTGTCACGTAAGAGCCGTTTGGGAGAAATCCGTGTTGAGCTGGACATATCAGATTGCTGGAATTAGGGAGATCTAGGATAGCTTGCTTCAGAATGCGTTCCATCACCTTGCACGGCACGCTGGTGAGGCTTATAGGCCTATAGTTGCCAGGCGATAGTCGGTCACCAGTTTTGGAGATTGGCGTGACAATCGCTTCCTTCCAAGCAGAGGGAAGGCGGCCTTCGTCAAACGACTGCCGAAACACCAGGTGTAAATTATTTGCCAGTGTGGAGGACGTTTCCTTCAGGATCCTTGGATGGACCTCGTCGAGCCCCAACGCGCAGAATGGGTTGATCTTGTGCAAGAGTTGACGAATGTCCTAAACCGTGAAGACCAAGTCGGTTAGAGGCTGTCGTAGTTTCGCCTTGACAAAAGTGGATGTCATGTGGACGCTGGGGCCGAGTATAAACACGCATAGTGTTCTCTGTAAACGTCAGATACCACTGTTGGGTCATTTTTCGGTTCTCCGTTTCTGTCCCTCAAAGAGAACGCGGATGGCTTGTTTCTGCGGCGATGTCTCATGTACTTGAACAGTACGTTTTTTTCGAACGAGGTCGAGGATGTTGGGTTGTTTTCGTATGTTCCATTGGCAGATTTCTGATTTACAGCGGCTCCGCAATTTACGAAATGCCAGCTCATCTTCTGTATCCCCTGTAGTGAACTTTTTGAAAAGGAGTTGAGATCTTTTTTCCAGAATTCGCCGAATCCTTTTTGGCATCCTGCGGTTCATCCGAGTGCGTGCTGGTTATTTTGGGATGAACATCGCGTCAGCCTCGTCAACTTTCTGGACAATGGTCCTATATAGTTCATTCACCGGAGCTGG